CCTCCAGTGTTGAGTGCTGTTCCGAGGAACACGGACAACAAACAGGACTGCTCCCCCTCTTCCTCCCTCCCTCCCTCCCTCCCACTTCTTCCTCCCTTCGTGTACCTAGAATTAGGCAACACTTTGTCCTGCTAGACTTAAGATTAGGGAGCCCTGGTGACACAGCAGCTAAGCACAGAGGTCGGTGGTTCAAACCCACCCGCAGCACCAGGCGAGACAAGAGCTGGCAATTGATCTTGTAAAGACTGACCGCCTCAGAGTCCCTGTGGGGCCCATCTCCTCTGTCCTGGAGGGTCACGGTGGTCAGAATCTGACAACAGCTTTCACCGGTCCATAGGAGTCTCAGCCTACTTGCTGGCACCTAGCAACAACCACGAGTATTGACTAAGCACCTATGTGTGCCTGGCACTGCTCCAGGCATGGGAGTAGTGAGCAAAACGGGCTCGTGGAGCCCGTGGCCTGATGGGGAGAGAGGCGTTCTCCAAAGCCGAGGGGGAAGGGATCCAGGAGGAGTGCTGTGCCATCATCAACCAGGCGGCGCCAGAGCACTTGCGAGGCCTCAGCCCCTCTGCACCCTCGCCCCACATCCCACTCCCCAGAGGGGTCAATCCACTATGCCTGGCACATGCCCCACTGCTCTCATGGGGCCTGATGGCACCCTGGGCCATGCTGTGTGGAAGCAAGACAGCCCGTCTGTGAACAAATTGGGCTTCACCCCAGCGTGGGCAACAGACATCAGAGGGGCAGGAGGCCCAGGCTCAGTCATGACCCTTCTTCCGCTGTGTCCCTGCAGCCTGTCCCAGAACAACATCACTGATGTGGGTGCCTGCAAGCTGGCAGAGGCCCTGCCCACCCTGGCTGCGTCCCTCCTCAGGCTGAGGTGAGTGATGGGTGGGGGTGGAGGGTAAGCGGGCTGCATAGTCAAATGCTGGGTGCCAGAAGCATCACACTAGAGGTGCCATGGCGTTGTCCCTCTCTGTCCCCCTGGAACCCTGGTGGGACAGTGGTCACACACTGGGCTGCTAACCACAAGGTCCAAACCACCAGCCAACACACCAGCAGTTCCAAACCACCAGCCACTCCTCCGGAGAAAGACAGGGGTTTCTACTCCTATAAACAGTTACAGTCTTGGAAACTCGCAGGGGCAGTTTTACCCTGCCCTGTAGGGTCGCTGTGAGTTGGGGTGGACTTGGTGGCAGTGAGGTGTATGCGGGACGCCACCTCCCTAGAGGCCCCTGAGGACACAACTCCCGGGGTTGGGCACTCAAGGGCAAGGATGCTTCTGAAGCCCCCCTGGGCAAGTTGGTACCTCCCCATTCCACGCCTCTGTTTCTCATCTGGAAGTGGTAACCATGCAGCTGTCTCCTTCGAGTTAAACAAGCAACCAAGTGAGGGGCTTGGTTCAGTTCTTGGCCCTCAAACTCCAAACTCCCTGTCAGGTGATTGTGATTCACAGTGACCCCGTGGGGCCGTGGAGAACGGCCCGGGCAAGTTTTTAAGAATGAAACTCTCACAGGAATAGAAAGCCCCATCTTTCTCCGATGAGGTTTTTTGGTTTGAACCAAGAGAGACCAGAATCCTAGAGAAGGACTTGGTAAAGGGAAAGAGCAGCGAACAGAGGAAGACCCTCAAGGAGATGGACTGACACGGTGGCTGCAACGGTGGGCTCACACATCACAGTTGGGGGAACTGCACAGGACAGGCAGTGTTTCATTCTGTGGCGCAGAGGGGTCATTCTGAGCCAGGACAGGCTTGACGGCAGTAACTTAAGAGGATGACACTGTGGGGGAAACACTGGGTTGCTAACTTCAAGGTCAGCAGTTCAAATCCACCAGGGAGAAAGATGAAGCTGACTGCTCCCATAGAGATGTAACCAAATCAAACTGCAAACTCGGTGCCGACTCGCAGCAACACTACAGGACAGGGTAGAGTGCCCTTGTGGGTTGTGGAGTCTGTAACTCTTTACGGGAGTAGAAAGCCTCATCTTTCCTCCGAGGAGCGAGTTGGTGGTTTTGAACTGCTGACCTTGAGGATTGCAGGCCAGCCTATCACCACTGCGTCTCCAGGGTTCAGTCCTAGAAAATACTTTTTATGAGGTCGCTATGAGTTGGAGTCTGCTCGATGACAGTTTGTCGCGAGTAAAGCTGGGGTCATCTGCGTCCATAAAGATTTACAACCTCAGAAGCCCTGTGCAGTTCTACTCGGTCCTATGGGGCTGCCAAGAGGCAGCATCACCGGAGGGCAGGGGGCTGGGTTTGGAACTCCAGGCCCTCACACTTGGGTCAGGCCTTATACTGCCACCTCCTGGTGGCCTTTGAGTAGTACCTCGTGCTTTCATGTGGTTGCGTAGTAGTTACCTGTAGGGACGCTTGCTAACTGCAAGGTCAGCAGCTTGAAACCAGCAGCCCCTCCTCAGCAGTAAGGTGAGGCTTTCCCGTCAAATTACAGTCTCGGAAACGCATAGGGGCTGTTCTGTCTTGTCCTCGGTGGTAGAATTGGCGTTGGAATCGAGTTGATGGCAGTGAGTTTGGTTTTTCGGTTTGGACTTTGAGCTCAGCTCCTGGTGGACCGTGAATGTTTCAGGATTTACCCAGTGCCTTGTGGCTAAGGAGAGATCAAGCTTGGACCACAGACTAATGAGAGACCAAAACCCAGCATTGCCCGAACTCCTCCCTCTCCTTCTCCCAAAACTCTGCCGCCTGTTGAGAGCAGTCAGAGGATCTCATCCATCTCATTGACTCATCCATTCACGTATCCGGCCAGCCAGGGCCACTCCGTACAGCACCGCACACCTCGTGCTTGTGTAGGTGCCCGGAGAGTGACACAGGAGACCCAGTGTTTGACGCTCACAGAGTGGGTGCCAGAGCTAGAGCAACGGCTGTGAGCAAGACAGAGCTGGCCCTTGCTGTGAGCCTCTTGCACATTGAGCAGGCACGCATAGGCATAAGGGGAGATTCTGAAGTAGCAACGCGTGCTGGGAAGGAAACCGACCAGGGCTCAGAGGGCACAGTGACCCGCTGTTGCCAGGCTGGTTCCTACTCACAGGTAGCGACCCTGTAGGGCAGAGGACAGCGGAGAGTTGCTCGGCAGGGCTTCTGAGCCCGTACATCTTCACAGGGACAGACACCTGCATCTTTCTCCCAAGGAGCCACCAGGGGGCTGTCTCTCACTGACCTGGCTTTGGCGGTGTAGTGGTTACACGTTGGGCTGCGATCCACATGGTGGGCAGTTTGAAACCACCAGCAGCTCCGAGGGCGAAAAGACTGTGCTTTCTGCTCCTATAAACAGTTACAGTCTCAGAAACCCCCGGGGTCGCAATGAGTCAGCATGGGGGCAATGGCAGTGAGTTGGGTTTGGTTGGTGGTTACTACCGCACTGCTTAACCCACAGCACCGCCAGGGCTCTTTGGTGAGTGTAATAGGAAGTGTCAAATTCACCAGGGAGGTTGGGGGACCCCCCCAAAAAAAACAACAACAAAGAGGAGCTGGCCGTGGGAAGCTCTGGGACAGCGGTTCTCAACCTGTGGGTCTCGACCCCTTTGGGGATCAATGACCTTTTTACAGGGGTTGCCCGATTCCTAACAGTAGCAAAAGTATAGTTAGGAAGTAGCAACAAAAATAATTTTATGGTTGAGGTGTCACCACAACACGAGGAACTGTATTAAAGGGTCGCGGCATTAGGAAGGTTGAGAACCACTGGTCTAGGGGACGTGCCTTCCAGGGAAAGGGAAGAGCAGGTGCAGAGACCCCAAGGTGGGAAGGAGTTTGGGTCTTCCTAGGCCAGCTGGCATGTAGTGTACAAGGGACAGGGGGTGGGGGGCGAGGACGAGAGGTCAGTTGAGGCCACTGACGAGGGCTGTTTGAGGCTTCAGGAGAGGCTTTTGAAGGTGACAGTGGTGGTTTTTTATACCACGTCTGGGGGAGTCGTTTGGGCGATTTACCCGTGAGGTCACATTTGGTGGAGTCTGCGGTCACGGCATCCATGGTAGGACACCGTCATTCGGCACGCAGGAGACAGACCAAGAAGCTGCTAGTTACACCATGCCCCTCCACTGCTTACGAGGCACCCAGTGATATTCAAGTGCCAACAGCATGCTTTTGGCACCAGTGAAATGGGCATGACATGGCACCTGTGGAGTGAAGATAACCCTCCTGGGCTCGAAAGCCCCCAACCAGCTCCCATCCGAGTTCAGCCAGGACCCACTTTGCTGCAGTGTAGACCTGTGGTGTTCATCCCAGAAGCCAGTGGTGCAGCCCTAAGGCTGATTTGGGACAATCACCACTGTGCTCAGGGTGGTGCTCAGGGCGTGGCCTGCTCTCAGGAGACTGACCATGAGCAGGCAGCAGAGGCGGCTCCAATGTCGTGCTCACGGTGTTTGTGACGCTGCTGAATGACTGTTGCTCACTGCAATGGAGTGATTCCGACTCACAGCAAACCCTGTGAGACAGGGTAGAACAGCCCCTGTGCGTGGTGAAGGAGAGGGGCGGGGTGAAAGAGGAAGACCCTGGACAGGATGGATTGACACAGTGGCTGCAACAATGGGCTCGAACGTAGAACAATTGTGAGCGCGGCACAGGACCGGGCAGTGTTCTGTTCTGTTGTGCATACGGGTCCCTATGGGTTGGGACCAACTCAATGAGGTGGCCCCTAACCACAGTGACCACGAGGGCTGTGTGGACGTCAGAGAAACCTGAGCCAGTTCCAACTCTGATGACCCCACGTGACAGTACAACTGCCCCGCACTATTTCCTAGACCCTGGTGGCACAGTGGTTAATCACTCAGCCACGAGCCAGAAGATCAGGGGTTTGAACCCATCAGATGCGCATAATGTCCCGAGACAGGGTTTCCAAAGCTGCAAATCTTCCCAGCAGCAGGCTGTGGAGAGAGGCTGGTGGGTTTGATCCACTGACGGAGCCCTTTCAGGTCCTGGGATGACCCCTCTGGGAGGCTAAAGAAAGACTGCACCCATTTTATGGCTGAGTGCACTGAGTGACAGATGTGGGAAGTGACAGAGCAGGGATTTGAACTTGGGAAGTTGTCTTCCTGAGTTTCCACGTTCTCAACCTTCCTTGGGCTCACTACGTAACCATGGGAAAGCCTGGGTTGCCCTTTCTGAAAGTGGGAGCAGAAATCCTGGTTAGGTGTGGACCTCCCTGCCACCTCCCAGCCCCTCTGTGGACCTCTGTTTCTGCAGCCTGTACAATAACTACATCTGTGATTCGGGAGCCAAGAGCCTGGCCCACGTGCTTCCCGACATGGTGTCCCTCCGGGTGCTTGAGTGAGTATGGCAGCCAGGGCAGTGGGTGGCAGGGACCCAGGGTTTGGGAGGGACAGGGGCTCCCACTGGGCGGGGGGCCAACTGTCATGTGTAGACCTGCTGGGTTGGGCTGGGATTGGATGGTCCCAGGGCCAAGCCCAGGATGGATTTCCCTGTCCAGTGTCCAGTACAACAAGTTCACGGCCGCCGGGGCCCAGCAGCTGGCCACCAGCCTGAAGAAGTGCCCGCATGTCGAGACGCTAGCGTAAGTCTCAGGGCCTGGGGTGTGTGGGGGGTCCACCCTCTTGCCAGGTCAGCCCTGTCCTGCCCCTTGAAAACTGGAGCTCCTGGCCTGCAGGCACTTCCCCTCATCTGTAAAGTGGGAGCGCTGATCACATCTCCCCTCAGGTGGCTTCCTGAGGTTAAGTTAGCCAGCTGCCTCACAGTGTCCAGCTGTGAGGATGCTCATCAGATGCCATCTCCGGTTGGACCCTATGAAATGGCCTTTATCAATAGCTCTGGCCTATCAAACTATATGGTCCAGACCAATGATTACTGTCCTCTCTGCTATATTCAGCCCCGGCGATGGCTTGTGCACTAATGGCACTGTATAACCTCTCTGAGCATTTCACCTACACCATCACTTGCATCTTTGAAGGAGGCTTGTATAGGACCCATTGTACAGATAGAAGAATAGAGCACAGAGAGATTAGCTAACGCTATTGAGGCCACACAGCAAGGCAGCCGTGGAAGCAGATCTAAAGGGGTCATCGGGCTCAGGCTTGTGGTCTGTTTTGGGCTCGGTGAGAGGTTCCCAAGGTCCAAGGCTGGGTGGGAGGAGGCACATGGGGCAGGCTGCACGGGAGTGGGGGGTAATCTCCTCCACCCTGACCCTGCTCCCATCCCTACTGGTCCTAGCAGGATGTGGACGCCCACCATCCCATTTGGAGTCCAGGAGCACCTGCAGCAGCTGGACTCTCGGATCAGCCTGCGGTGACCTCAGCCACACCTGGGACAAGGTAACTTGGGTGGGCCCGAGAGGGAGAAAGGCTGACACGCACCCCCACAACATGCCCTGCTTGTCCGTGCTCCTGGAAAGGGCAGGGGGTATCAGCAGGGGCTGGCTGGCTCTGCCAGACCTCCCCTTCTCTACGCTGCACTCACAGGAGTGTCCTAACTGCTTGAGGACCTGGGCCTGGGGGACCCTGTGGTCAGAGTTGGAGGGAGGAGGGCAGGGTGGGTCCGGCCATCCCTGCCCCTCAGCTCCTAGCACTGTGAACAAAGCTCCTCCTTCCAGGATTCCCAGCCAGCTGGCTGGTCCTGATATCTGGGGTCCATCCTCATAGGAATTTGCTATGCAAGTCTCCTGGCCCTCCCTATGGGAAGCCTTCCCACTCCCCAGCCCCAACGTGGCATACCCACTGCCCTTGAAGCACCCTGCCCTGCATCCGGGCTTACTGTCCTCTTCTGACCCCTGCAGCACATTCCGGAGACTTGGACCATGCTGGACCTTGGACAGCTTGGCTGTGGACCAAGTTCTCTTCAGCATCTCCCACACACCTCAGCGTCCTGGCGCCTAGCCCCTGCCGGCTCAGGGCTGGCCTGCCCACACTGCTGAGTGAACTTCAGGGGCTCTGGGGTCCTGTGGGGCCCAGACTGATGCCAGACTCACAAATAAGCAACGATGTGCCCAGAAGTCAGGAGCCAGGGGCAGCTGTGGCCCACTCAGGAGCCCTGCAGGCCACCAGCCACCCTGGCCCTGGCACTGTGGCCAGCTGAGAGCGAGGGCCCATGGGGGCAGTTCTGCCTCCCCAGTGGGACCTGCTTAAGAGGAAGCACTTCGCCAGCCCTCCAGCAGGGAGGACGCATGGCGCTCTGGGGGCAGCCGGCTGTAGAGGGCAGCAGGCCTACCAGCTCCCCGAGCACCGACTGGCAGGGATGTGTGGCTGCTGCTTTCGGCCTGGGGACTCAGCTTTGCACTGACTTTGTTTGCCAGAGACCAAAGCCATGCCTGGCCAGCCGCACTTGGCCTTGGATGGAAGCAGCCAATTGTACACTAAGGGTGGTGGTGGAGGGGGGGAATGGGAGATTGGTACCACATCTGCCTTTTTGCCTCTGTAACCCGTCATTTTTCACTACATTATAAATGACCTGTTTAATCGTGAGGAGCCCTGGTGATGGTTGCGCGTTGGGCTGCTGACTGCAGTCAGTAGTTCAAAACCACCAGCTGCTCCTCTGAGGGAGAAAGTCAGGGCCTTCTACTCCCATAAAGGGTGAGTCTCAGGAGCTCACAGGGGCCGTCCCCTGCCCTAGAGGGTTGCCATGAGGCAGTGTTTAATCTCGAGGGCAGCCCTCTGAGTTCCTACTACCATCTCTTGGGAGGCCTCCTCTCCTGGCTGGCTAACAGGTGACAAACCACTGCAAAGCATAATGGCTTGAATCGCCATTCACACATCTGAGATCTGGGGCAGCTAGGTTTCTGGCGCTGGGTCACCAAAGTCCTGGCCCCTGGTGTCATGTCTGGCAGGTAGTGTGGGCTGCTGGTCTCTCGATGGGGTCGAGCTTTGGCTTCCTTTTGGCACGGTGGCAATGGAGGAGTTAGGATCCTTTGCATAACCTAGCCTCAAAGTCACCTAGTTTCTCTCTCTCTCACACGCACGCGCGTGCACGATATACATTGGCCTAAGTCCTGTGTTTTCAGAAACTGTTTCTGCAGCTTCTTTGTTAAGATTCCATAAAAAATGCATCCCTTTGGAGTTGGTGTACTGGGCACAACAGGACTGCTTTCCCCGCCTCGGGTGTGTCCTCCTGGGAGCCGGCGCAGGGCCTGCTGGGTACCACGTGGGCCGCCAGCTCTGCCACTACAGCTCAAGCATGGCCGGCTGACGAGGGCACTGTTGTTCTCCTGGTGGCTATGGGGACAGTCGCTTCTGTCCCCATGTACAACTCTTCAGCTTCATTGGCCTGGCTCCCAAGCCCCCCTTCTTCTTTCCAGGGGCCTGGAGGGTCAGAAGGGTGTGGCTATGCCGGCATGGACAGTGCTTCTGCTCGGCACAGCTGCCCAGGGCATTGGGAGTTGTGACCAGGCTCGGCTTTAGGAGCCCAGCATCACTCCTCAGGGTATCCATGTACTCCTGGGCACTCTGAGTGACGTGTGTGGGGCTGGTCTGCTGTGGTTTCCTCGCCCACCAGCCAGGAGGGTGGACGCTCTGTACCCAATTGCTTCTGGTCTGTTCATAGAGGGCAAGACTCAGGCCAGAGGCTAGTTATGAATAGCTGTGTTTTCAGTAGGTTGCAGTTGTTGCTGTGAGTTGTTATTTATTGAGTTGTCATGCACAGTAGAAGGAAGCCAGGCCCGGGCCTGTGCCAGTGTCATGGTCGCTGGTCTGCCTCTGTTGGCTGTCCCTTGTTGTGGCCGCTCTATTGAGTGCCTCCCAGCCAAGGAGACTCTTCCATACCTGACAATATTTGGTCGTCATCCATATGGTTCTCAGGAGCTACTGTTTGGGGGGTTACCAGGTCTTTCTTCCTAGTCATACCTGAGAGCTCCTCTGAAACATGTCCCCACCATGGGTGACGCTGCTGGTATTTGAGCATCCCATATCCCCAGCACACACAAGCCACCCCAGTCCGACACCCTGCCATTTACTAAACAAGTCCATGCATGAGCAGTTAGTACAGGCACGCTCCTGATCATTGTTCCTGCGTGCCGGGCTCCAGGCTGCTCGAGAAAGGCTGGTCTGCCGGCCAAATGCCGGGGCTTTAGAGCCTGGTGGCTCGGTGCTGAGCTCTACCACATCTTCCTGCCCGTGATTTCTCTGTGCCTCGGGCTGCCCACTTGTGAGACAGGCCGTCACAACGCCGCCTTCAGGGTGTGACAACCCAGCAACCTGACATGTGAAGAGCAGAGTCTGGCCCTCAGCTCGGCCTGTGTCTGGGGACCTGGGATACTGGGTGTTTCAAGTGGCACTGCTGGGAGTGTCCCTCCCAGGCTGCCTGGTTATCCTGCGGGACTTCGCTGAGGGGACAGCGCCTCCAGACAGCCCTGCTTTCAGAGCAGGCCACCCCTCCCTCTTTTCCCATCATCTGCAGCGTTGTCTGCACACTGGTGGAAATTCATTACCATCTCCCTACAGAACTGCAAGGTGACCCAGTGCCACTCATTCACTCATTTCTTCCCTTTCTCCTACACGCACCCCCACCCCCACCCAGCCCACCGTTTAATGGGGGTCTTCTGTGTGCGGGGCATGGGGACCCCATACTTTGGACTCTCTGGGATTCTGGTTGCTGTCCAGACTCCTGGCCTTCCCTGCCACCCCAAGGTAGACTGATGCTGCTCAGGCTGGCTGAGGCCATGAGGGGGTCTGGCGCTCTGGGCCCTCCCCGCCAGCCTGCCCCTCCATACTGAGAGGTCCCAATTCACCGCAGTCCGCCATGAGGTCCTGCAGCGAGGACCCCTTTCTTGGCATCAGAGAAAAACCAGGCAGGGTCCCAGGCGCCAGAGTTGTGTACAGTTTTAATCAAAGAAGTCAGCCTCCTAGGTATTGCTTGGACAGGTTTAGCAAGGCCAGGGTTCACACCTCCGCAATTTCCAGACAAATCGCTCTGGCCAGAGGAGCACCTTGGCCCTCCCCAGTACAATGTGTCAGTTCTGCCCCAGAGTGTGACCGGAGACCTCTGCCAGACTGATGGAGAAGCAGCAGCTTGAAATGAGTCAGTCCACACCCGCTCCTGGGCGGCGGCCCTTCCTCCCTGTGAGTCACTTCCTGAGACAGCCCCACATGCAAGTCCAAACCCAGCAGGCGGGAAGCTCAGCGGGTGTCACACGGCGTGGAGACGCTGCGTGAGCGTCTGCAGCGTCCTCGGAGGAGGGGAAGTGTGGATGCAGGTGCAGCAGCGCTGGGGTGCAGCGGGGCCCGACTCCCATCACCTCAGTCCCAGGGTCTCCTCCCTGCACTCCTGGGGCCGGGCGGGAGCCTCTGTGTTGGCACGAAGCTTTCAAAGGGGGGCAGGCCTAGCAAGAAGGAGAGAAGGGGGTTACAGACATGGAGGCTCTGCTGTGCCACCAGTGGGCCCAGGACGGACACAGTGGGAAGCCTTCCCTCACACGTGCCTCCGTTGGGGGTGTTTCTCCATCGTTTTTATTAATTTGCATCATTGCCCAGGGCCCTGGGCTACAGAACCAGCACTGACCTCTCTGGGAAAGGAGGGACCCTCCTGGGCACTGAGGAGGGGCTGGAGCTGCAGGAGCTGCTTGCTCGACTGTGGAGGCTGACCCGAGGATCTGGGCAGCTGTGCCAGCTCAGGGTGAAGGGCAGGGCTTGCCAGCCAAACACTTTACCCAGACGATGCCATGTGAGCCAAGAGGGTGGCTCCAGCCATGGCTCAGACACTCAGCAGTCCCACTTGGCTTGTGCATTCTGGACACTGTCCTCCCCAACACACACACACACACACACACACACACACACACACACAGAGTCTATCAAACACACGCGCACATGTCCCAGCCCCTCGGTAGATCTTCATCACATGTCCAGCAGGTCCGCAGAGTCTCTGGTCCCCAGACCCACCTTCCTCATGACTCCCACAAGTCCCACTCTGCTCCCAAGCCTCAGCTTTGCTGGCCCCGGTGGTTCCTTCTGCAAACTTGGAGCACACAGTGAAATGTTAAGCCAGCAGCACCCCTTAATGGGCTGGGTGGGCAGCATTTTGTTGAGGGGTATCCCTGGCCCACCCTGTCTCCCCACCCCACCCTGTTCCAAGGACCACGTCCAGCGAGAAAAGTGTGCCTCCTCGTTTTACAGGCCAAGAAACCAAGGTCTCAGAAAGTCACCTGACTAGCCAACACTCCCCAGTGGTGGCGGCGGAGCCAGTACAGGGTGAGGAGCGAGTGCTCGCCAAGCCCCCCATCCCCTCCTCATCCCCTTCCTGGGCACTGAACAGGGTGAGCCCACAGTCCACCTCTCCCCTACATTTCCCCAGCAGGTTGGAGCACGGGGACCTCAGTGGGAACCTGCTCATAGGCCCCCCTCCTTGCCCACCCCACCATGTTTCAGAGAGCTCCCTCCAGAAGAAAGAGCTTGGATGCAAATCTCCGGCTCAGGCCTGTGCGGGAAAGGCCGCAGTTAAGACTGTTTCAGCCAACCCTCCCAGTAGTCCCCGGGCCCATCACGATCCCATCTCACAGATGAAGCTGCTGCTACTCAGAGAGGGTGTGTGACTTGCTTAAAGAGGCTCAGCTCGGCCACTGGAGATTCACGTACTACTCAACTAGACAGCAAGCACAGGTTTCGGGATCTCAGCTCCAAGCCCCCACTGGCTGGGCCTCACTACCACATCTCTGTCCACTGCGTCTCTCTGGAGAGCCACCTTCGATTTATGCACGTGATACCAGCTTTTCAATGCTGGCAGAACACAAGCTTCCTCTCTTTTCAAACCACTTCTTTCCCCTTAAAAACAGAGAGCAGATTTAGAAAGAACCAAAAAGCCAACCAAACTCACGGCCATCAAGTCGACTCAGCTTACAGTGACCCTAAAGGGCAGTGCAGAACTGCCCCTGTGGGCCTCCAAGACTGTTTTCACAGGAATAGAAAGCCGCATCTTTCTCCCCTGGAGAGCCTGGTGGATTTGACCTGCCAACCTTGTGGTTAGCAGCTCAACTCGATTTAGAGAACCACACGGTAAACAATAGTTCGAGTGTGGGGCAAGTAGAGCAGACCTGATCTAGTCCATCCACTCACACCAGTGGGGAAAGATGTGGCCCAGAGAGGGTGTCAAGCTGCCCAAGGCTGCACAGCAAGCTGAGGAGAGATGTGAGCCCCGGTCTCCATCTTTGTGGCTTGAGGATATCCTGGGACACACTCGGCTCGGCAGCTTGTCTTTGCCGAAGGCCAACACCCTTGCTCCTTGCAGCCTGCAAACCGGAGATGGCAGTCCTGATGACAGTCACAGTGGCAGCTGACATCTGTCAAAGCCAAACCAAGACCACTATCGAGTGGACTGACAGCAACCTCATATGGGGTTTCTGAGGCTGTACATTACAGAGCAGACTGCCTTCTCTCCCTCGGAGAGGCTGGGGGTTTGAACAGCCAAACTGACAGTGGTACCGTTTGTCAAGCACTTGCTTTATGCTTAACCCTGGGCTAACTGCTTTTACCCATCTCTCTGCTCACCTACTGGGGTTAGCCAGTGAGGCCATGGTGGCTGTCACCCTACATGTCAGAGGAGGCTCAGCTGCCATGCAGCCAGGTGGTCAGGATCAGCAGCTCGGCAGCTCCTCTCCCCACTGCGGGGCCATCCCTTTCCTCAGAGAGCAAGAACCCAGGTGGCTCTTTGTCCACTCAAAGCTCCCAGCTTTGCCAACCTGCTCACGGCAGGTGAGCCCAGAGCCAAATCCTTAGCCAGCACCTTCCGAGTCCTTTGTGAAGCTGGAACTGCCTCTCCAGGCCACCCCAGGCCACTCGCCGGAGCAGAGCAAGGGCAGAGCCAACGGTCACCAGCTTCGCTCATCAGAGTGGCAGCCAGGCCCTCGGTCCATTTTAGAAAGTCCCTCCAACTCAATACCTTTGTGGACCAGCTGCCAAGTTCCGCCCGGAGTTGGCGTACCTGGAAGTGGTTCGTGTGTGTGCTTGCTGCAAGAGCACCCCGGCGCCCTTTGCCCCGTCCTCCTCCAGGGCGGCCTGGGTCAGGTCTGGAGACGCTTGTCCTGGGCAATTCTCCTCGGCTCCCTCCAAGTTGTGTGACCTCACACAGGCCACCTGATCGCTCTAGGCCTCAGTTTCTACCTCTGAAAATGGGAGCTGGCGATGATTTGATGAACTTGGGCTGGGCACGTGCCCAGTAACTCCCAACTCCAGTGGTCTCTGCCTCCTCTAAGCCCTTGGTCCCAGCAACGGGTCAGGGGTCTTCCTGAAGACAGCTGACTGCTCCCTCCTTTAAAGGCCATGCCTTCTAGAAGCTTGTCCAGGTGTGAGATAACCAAGAAAGGTGGTTTCTGACACCTGTCACCCAGACAAGCTTCTTTGTTCTGGGTGTCCTGCTTGCCTCTGGTCTCCATCCTGCAGGGCACAGCTGGAGGCCAATGGTCTCTGGGCCAGGGTGGGGGGTGCAGAGGACCAGGAAGAAGTCAGAAAATGCAGGCACTATGGCCCTGGTGGAAGCTGGTATCGCAGAGAAACAGGACCCCTTCTTCTCAACTCTGGACCTAACCACCCCCCCACCCCCCTGCCCCCCATGGCTATTTACAAGGGGGCTTCAAAAGGTCCAAGGGCAAATGGAATTAACTCATGGAATTTTCCCACGAACTTTAGGAAGCCGTCTTGTACTTGATAGTGTAAACCAATGTACTTTTTCCTCTGTACATTTTGGAAGCAAACCTGTCTGTCACTATCATGCACTAACCAGCTCTGGTTTGTTATAAACAGAAGGCAGTTATAAACAAAAGTGTGGAAAGGAAGCTTCCATTTCCAGCCAGCTGCCCAGGCTGCCTCGTGCCAGAGGGCTCAAGGGTGCTCCGTGTGGGTATATACCCAGCCTCTTGAGAACCAGCTGGGTAGGACTGACCCTCCCCAAGCAGCCCCTGCTGCCAGCGTGCCACTGGTTGGAACGCCAAAGAAGTAGGGAGGCTATTTTTAACCACCCAGCCAAGCTCCCAGCCAGGAAGGAATGCCAAAATGCTGTCTCACCACACCCACCACTCAGGCTCCCTCAGCTGCTGGGGACAATGACCACCTGCCCTCGCTGCCCACATAGACACGCCTCCTGGAGAACTGCCCCACACCCAGAAGAGGCAGGGCACCTGGGAAAGGGGAGCCTGCATCCTAGCCCTTAGGGAGTCCCCTCCCATCCAGCCTGCACAAGCTCAGTCGGTGGTTTTACAGAGAAGGAAACTGAGGCTGGGGGAAAGAAGTTACTTGGCCAAGGTCTTAGGGTGGCTACAATGAAACCCACACTTAAATGCACTTTCCAAGGAGCATGGGGATGGTAGTGCTCTGTCAGCCAACACCCCTCACCCCAAGCAACTACTTATCTCCCCTCTGAACATGGGCTGAGCCGGAAGAGGCTCTGGGCTCAACTTAGGGTTTGGCCAGAAGTAGCTTGTCCTCATGCCAATGAGGCTGCTGTCCCTCACCGAGATGTAAACACATCCCTAAAGCGAAATTCAAGTAAAAAGGGTATTTTTCCAAAATGAAGCACCAGGATTCGTGGGGCCAACTGCACGCACGTAGCTATGACAAGCCCGGCCTGGCAGACAGGGACGTGACCAGGCGGAAGGCGGGCGTCAGGAGGCCAGAGCAGTCCACTGAGGACACTTGGGCTGCGGTGGAGCACCTGCCAAAAGAGCACCCGAGACTCCCGTCAGCCAGGACTCCAGAAGCCGGTCCTCTTCCAGACACCAGCACCAACTGACAGACGTGGCAGCAGGGGCTCGTTCCCAGAACTCAGGGCTCAGAGAGAAGGCCCTGGTGCTCTCTCGTCTTGAGACCCATTCTGGGGTCTGACGTGTCTATGGCCAGGCCTCAGGGCACCCTGGCCTCTTAGAGCCACAGCCTCTGACCTCACCAGTCTGCATGTCCTCTAAGTCCCCAAAGGCTGCCTGTAGGATCTCCCTGGAACCTGCTCGTGTCCCCGGTGGGGCAGTGCCAGCCAGCCTGGGTTCTGTTCTAGTAGCAGGGCCACAGACTCACAAGGGATAGGGCACGGGGGAAGAACAGCTGTGACCCAGCCCAGCGAGCCATTGTAACGGGAGAGACAGAGGGTCTGGAGCCCCTACCTGCACCAGGCTCTAAATTGGGCAGTAACTGTCCCCTCTCTCTGCTCCACCCCACCAGGCCTGCTATGGGGGGTGGGAGACTGGCAGGCAGCAGCTGCTTTCATGAGGAGCCCAGGCACTGATCCAGGGAGCTGCCAGCTGCCTGTGCACCGGGTACAAGAGACTGTCTGTGCTCCCAGGACAGTCCTCTCTCTTGGGAAGATGCCCAAGCAGCAGTGGGAGCCCGTTGGAGACCACCGATCAGTAGGACCGGCCTCCCAAGGATGTCCGACAGGGACAGGCCTGGGAGAAGCCATACCAGAACCTATGCGGCACTCAGGAGCCAGCCTGCTGCTGCTCCTCTTAAGCTATCAGTATGCATACGCAGACATGTATTCCCACGGCCTGAGGGCACACACTAACCATCTTCCTACTGCCAAGGATACCAGTGGCTAATATTCATACATCACTTACTATAAATAGGAATGCCGAAGCACTTTATACAGCTCCAGTTTACTCTGGAAATATTGGCTCAATGAGGGTTGAGTTTACAAGGTTGTGATGGGGGGGCAGGGATGGGACACGGAAGCACGGGAAGGTAATCGGAGTCTCCCCGGTAGAGCCTGCCTTAAGCAATCAGCTGCTAACTGAGAGTGAGTGCTGTGACTCCAGCAGTTGCCTTGTGAGAGAAAGAAGTGGCAATCTCCTTCTGTACAGGGTCCAGCCTTGGAAGCCCCACACAGCTACTCTGTCCTATTAGGGTCCCTATGAGTTGAAACTGAATAGATTGCAATGGGTTCTGGAGGAGTCTAAATCTGGAGCCCTGGCCAGTATACATGGTGGATACTTTCTGCTGCTAACCTAAGAGCTGCAAGTTCAAGTCCATCTAGGCACCTCAGAAGAAATGCCTTTGCAGGCCACTTCCTACAACATAGCCATTTGGAAACTCTGAGACACCACTGTCCTCTGACACACAGGGGTCACCCAAGTCAGAGTCAATGCCACCAAAACCAAATTGCCAGAGAGTCGATTCTAGGACACAGAAGAACTGCCCCTGTGAGCTTCCAAGACTAACCCTTAATGGAAATAGAACACCTTATCTTTCTCCTGTGAGGAGACTGGTGATCTTGAACTGCTGATCTTGTAGTTAGCAGCCCAATGTGTAACCACCATGCCACCAGGGCTCCACAGTCAATGCCATGGCAAACTGCTTAATATGAATCTAGAGTCCTACCTTGGACCCTAATATTGCCTCCATAAATCAAAAACCAAACTCACTGCCATTGAGTCTATGCTGACTCACAGCACCCCCGTAGGTTTCCGAGACTGTAACTGTTTACAGAAGGAGAACATCCAGTCTTTCTCCATGGAGCTGCTGACCATGTGGATCACAGCTCAACTTGTGACCACTACATCGCCAGGCTCCTTACTTGGTGCTCACTCATGTTTGAGGAACACTGGCTACATGAGGAATGGGGCCCGGTTCATTGTGGGAGCCATGCCAGGGTTCCAGGACTGCTCTCTGCGGCCCTCATCCACAGTAGACGGTGTAAGCACTGGCCGCTGCCATTCCTCGGCTGACAGAAAGCAAATGCAGGCTAAGAGGGCTTCAGGTGATCTGCAGACCTCTCCTCAAGCGTCTCCTGCTCCAGGCTGCTCCTCCCTCGCCCCAGGCCTGGGACCCTGAGGACTTGGGGGTAAGGAAGAAGGAAGACTTCACCCCATCTCCACCTGACTTTCCTGGGGTCAAGCCCCGGAGACATACTTCCCGGTGTTTCTGCACGAACAGTGGCTGCAACAAAGTAGGTGGACGCATTTGGTTTTCAGTTTCTGGTCTGGAATATGCCAATGTTTCCCTTTGGAAGGGGAAGTGTTACTGTTGGTGTGATGAAGAGATAAAAATATGCCGTTCTTTACCAACGTACACTCTGAAAGTCAAGCGCTTGGCTTGCTTGGGGGGCAGGAATGCATCCTGGGATTCCTAAGATCAAGCACCCAAACCAAAAGCGGAACCCACTGCCATTGAGTTGATTCCGACTCATAATGGCCCTACCGGGCAGGGAGGACTGGCCCTGTGGGTTTCTGAACCTACAAAGCCTCAACTTTCTCCTGAGGTGCAGCTGGTTGATGCAAACAGCAACCATAAAGGACAGTACCCATATAGGGTAGGACTGCCCTGTGGGGTTCTGAGACTAACTTTTTATGAGTAGAAAGCTTCATCTTTTTCCCTCAGAGCAGCTGGTGGTTTTGAACTGCTGACCTGTCCTTAGCAGCCCAACACACACAAGATGCCACCAGGGCTCCTCCCTCAAAAAGCAAACTCACTGTCATGGAGTTGATGCCAACTCAAAGCATGTTGGGCTGCTAACCTCAGCGATTTGAAACCGCCAGGCACTCTGAGGAAGAAGACAGAGCTTTCTATTCCCATAAACAACTACAGTCTTGGAAACTCACAGGAGTAGTTCTACCCTGTCCTACAAGGTCGCTGTGAATTGACCAGGGCTCCTAGCACAGGCTAAAAGTTTGGGCAGGCTCAGTGTTTGTTGAGTGGCTGAATGAGCAACTATGCAAGGGCCTAGGATTCGGCGTGGTATCCATCAGATTCAGGACAGGTTTTGAAGTGATCCTGTACCCTTTACCTCTCAAAGGTGTCCTTGATCTCTCCACATTTCTCTATCTTTACCCAAGTCTGTAACAGCTCCACAGGCCCCTCAGCTTCTACACTTGTCCCGGCAGCCCTTCTGCCCACAGCTGCTGGGCATCTTCAGTAAACATGAACCAGAGGGCGCCTTCCTGGAACTTCCAATGGCTTCCCAATGCTCTTAGCCTCCCACCTCACGGCCTCCTGGTGCTGTCTCCAGCCACACGTCCCTCTCCCACCCCAGGGTCTTGAGTATTAGGACCACTTTTTACTGCACCTTCATGCCTGGCTCAAATGTATTTCTAAATGGCCCTCCAGCCCCTAATCTAAAGCAGCCCATCGCTACCCTTCTGCTTGGGTCCTGGGCAAACAGGTCCTGCACCCCTACTCGATGCCAGGCACTGTTCTGGTAGACAGAAGGGGGGCTTGCGCTCCAAGAGTTCGTGTGTAAGTGCCTTCACAGATCTGACCTGAACCTCGGCACACCTTGGAGCACCTACCTGGCTGTCCTGTTCGCTGCACACCCCCACGGGGTGCAGTGGTACTCGGTGAACAAGGAAGCAGGACAGACGGACAAAAGGCGTCCACTCTGACACCTGATTCTCAGGGCTGTCCTTGGCCTTGACTGTGACAACAAAGGAGGGGGGTACATAGACTCACCCTGCTCAGGGAGATGGCACTAGTGCCTCCTTCCAAAAGGAGCTCCTGAGTATCACCCCGGCCTCCCCCTCCATTCAAGGCCCCAGGCCCAGCGATACACTGGCACCCTCCAACCAAGGGCCCTGGCCAAGGAGCCCCAACCCTAGTCCAGCCTGATAGCAACTGCCTCCCTCTTTCCCAGCCCGGCCTTCTCTGCCTTGCTTTGTGACACAGGCCAAGCCTTCCTTGCTGGCCAAGTCTTCTTCCCTCCTGGCCCTGCATTTCTCTTGTCTAACACATAGGGTGGGGCTGGTCACAGTCAGAGTGCCACCATCCCTCGGACACCCAAGAGCTCCTTCCTGGAGGCCCTGCAAAAGCCAGCGTTTGCCCCACCCCCAGCCCTCCTATTCCTGAAGGCAGCCTGCAAAGCAGACCAGAGCTGCAGAGCTGAGGCTCCCTGAAACCCGACTCCCAAACACAGTAGCCCAGTGAGGCCAAAAGGAAGTGCGGGCTCTTTGCTGAGGGGAGCCTGTGGCCCTTGAACCTTGTCCCCCAAAGGGCCACACTAAGAAGGCTAGCTCCCCATTTCTTGCCAGCCTCCCATCTCCATCTTTCCGAGAAACCAGGGAGAATCCTCAAAGGGCCAAGGTCACTCTCAAACCAGCCTGAGGCTGCCTCTCCCTCCCCCTCTCAAGAGCTGTCACCTAGCTGGGAAGGTTTGGCAGCCCCAGTTCAAGGTCTCAGATGGGTCGCACCACTCTGGGTGGTGGGAGATCTGAAGAACATAGGCAGGGGAGTCAGAAACTTGGAGGAGGGTTGTGTGGCCGGCCTGGCCCTCCCTCCCTTCTCCTCCAAAAATGTCCCAACTCGCCCTCAGCCGGCGCACTTACAGGCCTCAGAGGCCCGTGAGGGCCTCGCCAAGGGAGGTCCCATCCCAGGCCAGTCGGCGGCCCCAAACAGCAGTGGCGGCATGATGTGGGTGGCTGGTCCGGGACGAGGACGGCAGGTCGTGGTGAGCAGGGGGCACAACAGCTCTGACCCTAGTCCAAGTACCCATCGAAGACGTCCAGCTCTGAGTCGGCGTCGTAGAGGCCCGAGCCGGGGTCCGAGAGCACGCCAAGGTCCACGAGCGCCTGGTCCATGTCCTCGGGCAGGAAGACGAGGCCCACGTTGAGGACGATGTACTCCATGAGGAACGCGTAGTACAGAATAAGCACGTTGACGAAGAACAGGCCCACGTAGAACATAGAGGGCAGCAGCGGCGGCGGCACGTAGGGGGCCAGGGGGCCCAGCGCGTCCAGGTGGGCCGCAACCCGGGCGCCGAGCATGCAGGGGGCAGCGGGGGCGGCGGCCCGGCGAGCTCAGCCTCTGCGGCGCCCGGGCGGTGGGCGACGGGGCAGCTCAGCCATCCAGGGCGGCCGGGGCTCAACGGACGCGGCGCTGGGCTCGGAGGCGCCCCTGGAGGTGCGCGGTGGCCGCCACAGGAGGAGCCCCCTCCCCAAAGGCGCCCGCACAGGTGCCACACAACCTCCGGACGGCGCCCCGAAGTGGCGGGCTGCTGCCCGGCTTCCCCGGTGCGCCCGCGCGCTCACAGGCCCTGGCAGCGGTGCCAGGGGTCCACCGCGGCTCAGCGTCGAGGGCCAGTCCCAGTTGCTGCCTCTGCCACCCGGCTCGGCCGTTCCGCGCGGCCCCTCGGCGTCCCCGCAGGCCCAGCGCCCATGGCAGCGGCCGCCGCGTCGCCCTCCTGGTCGCATTCCCAGCGCCGCCTCCGGAGCGGCCCCGCGCTCATTGGCCCGCCCGTTCCCCGCCTGCGCTCATTGGTCTGCTCGATCCCCGCCCTCATTGGCCCTAGCCGCCGGGGGGCGGGCACTTCTTCGCCCCGCCTCTCCCAGGCGCTGACGTCTGGGTCGTTTTCCTGCTTCAGGTCTCTGTGACAGCTCTGGAAGATTTTCCTGCGTCCTGGTTGCTGAGAAGGGGAAGAAGACTGCACACAATTCGCACCTAGGTGTACCATAAAGGACCAAAGCCAAGAGAAACCGCGGGCTCCCTCCGCGGGACTCAGTCTCCAGATGAAAAAGGAGGTGAGGGAGGACCTGAATGGGAGCGCCCCACATTTCCAGTGCCATTTTTGCGCATTTTCCATAGCACCGTCTTTTCTTGGTGGAAAAGACCCATCCGTGCCCACCGTCCTCTCTCCAAATTCTGGCTTTTGGACGGTCCCCTCATTGGAGTATCGACCTCATGGGGGTCGCTCGTCTGTGTCCCTTGGGGAACATTCTGGACCAGCCAGAGAGGTTGCTGTGTCTTTGCTTGTGTTTTGTAAACCATGCTTAAAACACACACACACACACACACACACACACACACACAAGAACACACGTGGTTAAACATTCAAACTGCCATGAATTATACAAAGAAAGTAAATATCATCTTCACCAGTTCATGGGCAACCTGTTTGCGCAGATGTTTTACTCAAGACATTCCTCAAAGCATTCAACAACCCTACAAATATAAGGGCAACAACTCTATAAATATAAGGGCTTGCCGTGTTTACTTTGGGCCAGACTAGGCAGGGTGTGAGTATGCTACCCTTTTTTACAGAAGAAGCCAGAGAAATAAAGAAAGTGGAAACAGCTGGGGGGTATGCCTGGTGGCAACAACCAACATTCCTCCCATTTCCTCACCCATTGCTTTGCTTAATGAGCCACCCGGCAAACCATCAACTCACTGATGGTCTCCCTCCAGCCGAGGAAATAGAACAAACCTTCATGCATTCATTCATTCCTCACTCTGCCAATATATCTTAAACACTTACTATCCTTGGCCCAATTGTTTCCTTGAAAAACAATAGCAACAAAAGCAAACCCAAATGCACTGTCTTGGAATCAATTCAGGGTAAGGTGACCAGATTTTAACATTGGTAAAGTGGGACACCATTGATAAAACTCATATCCTGGCAAAATAGCCACATGACAGCCGAAAACCGTATACCCTAGCTTGCCATGCATTCTTTCCAAAAATCGGGACTTTTTAAAACCGCGGGACACGGGAAAAATTGTTAAAAATCGGGACTGTCCCGCCAAAAGCTGGACGTCTGGTCACCTTATACAGTTTCTGAGGCTATAACTTTATGGAATCAAAAAGCCTCATTTTTTTATCCTTTGGAGGGGCTGGTGGGTTGGGACTGCTGACCTTTTTGTAAGCAGGACATTGAATAACCCACTTCGATACTGTCTCCTTAGCACCGTTAATGGGACAGATTACACCTTTGTTAATGGACTGCACAAGACGCTACTGCCAACCAAGAAAATGGACCCTCTGCTTGCTAGAACTGACTATTCCATTTGAGCATTCCTCCTCTAGGAAAATGAACAATGGGCCCTGAGAGAGCAGCCCTGGTAAATGTCTCAACTCTGAGGTCAGGCTGAGTGGGCATCCTAAAACATCTCACACTGATTTATAGCCCGGGATAGGACTCCATACATCCTGTGGAAGAACAGTCACCTGAGATGAAGTAGAACGATATATGTAGGAAACCCAAGGATGAACTTAGTAAGTTCTTAGAAAGCTGCAGACCCTCAGGGGGTGCAATCCTCCTCCCCTTTGAAAGTGCCCTTTAAAAACTAGAAGCAGTCCCTTAGATTGGGTCCTTCTAATCTCTCAACTCCCCTCACTTTGTTCTCCGCTTATTTAAAATGTCCTTCTCACCTCCGAGGGGGACCCACTTCATCTCTTTTGAAGTGGACTTATTTAAATAAGCTTTGTCTTAACTGTGTGTGTGTGTGTGTGTGTGTGTGCACAGCTTATCTCTGGCCCCTTACACACTCCATGGGTGTGGGACTTGCTAGTTCTCCCCTTGGACGACAGCCCTATACTGGCATGCCTCGGTAGGACCAAACATCTCAGCCACTAAGAAGTGTAGAAGTGAATGAAAGACACATGCTGAGGAGATCCCTGTGAAATCAGTCTCTGTATATGGCTCGTTTCTCAAGATAAATACATTCTTAGACTCTTCTATCTTATCTCTATGAAGCTTCCACAACGAATTCACAAGAGAAGTGTAGATACTTCTCTCTCTCTCTCACTGTGTGTGTGTGTGTGTGAGGGATGGGTCTGTCTTTCTCTAGCTCATGAAATGGCAGTGAATGGGAGAAATTTACTGAAAGGACAGGATGTCCAGCTTCATATACTGTTGCTTGATAGCCTTCTATATTAGTCTAAGTACTTTAGAGAAACAAATCCACAGCAACTCATGTATAAGAGAGAGTTTTATGTAAAGAAAGTGTGCATCACGAAAACATCCCAACCCAATGCTGCCCAAGCCCACAAGTCCAACATTAACCCATTAACCCAACACCAGTCCACAAAGTCCTCCACCTCACAAAACAGAGGCAATGATGCCGACTGCAGGAGGAAAGCTGAGTCAGTGAACAAATAAGCATCTCAGCACTAGCAGGGGTCTCCACACGGCTGCTCCAGCCACCCAGGGCTGCATCGGGGTAGGTCCATGTGGCTTCTCCTTGGGGATGTCTTGTAGGAAGTCAATCTTGCAAGCTGAAGCAGGGAACTGCTAAGGCAGCTGCACCTTGGTGCGACCATCACAAAGCAAGAGACCCAAGAGCTAGAAAGGCGAGGCTCACCACCCATTTTATCCCTCCGCCTTTCAATTAGCCCCACAAGTGATTATCGGCCAGGTTGGCACAATTAACTAACTCACCTTCCAATAAACATTTAAAAAATTAAAGAAAAGGCCCCAGAGGACAAATCAAATGGTTACAGATTTGATGCCATTGGGTTATTGGACAGTAAAAGTAACTTATTGTGTGGACTTGAGCAAGTCATCCTGTCTGTAACTCCATCTTCTTGCCAGCAAAATGGGGACACTCATAGTCCTTTGCTTGCTGAAAGTGAAGCACTTAGTGATGCAGATCTATATGAAGGAAACAAGAATCCTCACCATGAGACCAGTAAACAACAACATGAGGAAGTGAGAAAAGATCAAAGTTGCCAGGATTTTGTCTTACTTGGATCCCTAATCAGTGCTCATGGGAGCTGCAGTCAAGAAATCAAATGACTTATTACTTCGGGCAACTTTGCTTCCAAAGATCTATTTAAAGTGGTTAAAAGCAAAGATGTATCTTTGAGGACTAAAGTGTGCCTAAGCAAAGGATTTTCCATCATGCCCTGTACTTGTGAAAGCTGGAATGAATAAGGAAGACCAAGAAAGAATGGATGACGGTGTTAGTAAAGAATATTGAAAGTGCCACAAGAATAAACAAATCTGCCTGAGAAGTACAGCTCGAATGCTCCTTAGAAACGAGGACGGGGAGTTTTCCTGTCCTGTACTTTGGCCCTGGTACCTGGAGAGAGAAGTTGAAGAAGGACGTCATGCTCAGTAAAGTCAGTTAAAAGAGGAGGACCCAAACGAGATTAATTGACTCGGGTCACAACACTCGGCTCAAATGTAGCAGCGACTGTGAGGACAGCGTGGGATCAGGCAGTGGTTTGTTACAGTAGGGGCAATGAGTAGGAACCAATACCACCATACCTAACACCATCTCCTCACCTCATCAACCATCTCATAGGGATATGGTGAGAGTTAAATAATAATAAATGTAAAGGATGTAGTACAGTGGAACATAATATACGCCTGCATTAGCTACACTTATACTTATCATAGAGATAATAATTGTTCATATTGTGGCTCTTTTTATTCGTCATTATCTCCAGTTCCCTTTTCATGGCTCCGCCCATAAGCCTCTCGTTCCCGCCCACTCGTCCTTTTCTCCTCTCGCCCCGCCCCCTCACGAGGGCCACTGGGCTGCAGTGCGTGATGCGCATCGGGTCTTGTAGTCCGTTC